ATGCCGGGAAGACCATCATCCCCCTGATCTCTCAGTGCACCCCCAAGGTGGACCTTCCCCAGGACCAGCTGACAGCTGTCACTGGGCGGATTCAGGAGGCCGGCACGGAGGTGGTGAAGGCCAAAGCTGAAGCAGGCTCTGCCACCCTGTCCATGGCATACGCTGGAGCTCGGTTTGTCTTCTCCCTTGTGGATGCAATGAATGGGAAGGAAGGAGTTGTCGAATGTTCCTTTGTTAAATCCCAGGAAGCAGACTGTGCCTATTTCTCCACACCATTACTGCTGGGGAAAAAGGGCATCGAGAAGAATCTAGGCATTGGCAAGATCTCCCCTTTTGAAGAGAAGATGATAGCAGAAGCCATCCCCGAGCTGAAGGCCTCCATCAGAAAGGGAGAGGAGGAGTTTGTGAAGAACATGAAATGAAAGGGCAGCCAGCTAGCAGTCCGTTTCCCTAACTTATGAAGGCATCATGTCCCTGCAAAGCCATCTCCTGCCCTCATGTTTCCGTTGCGTTAACCACCAGTGTCATGTTAACGTCACCGCCCCTTCCAGTAGCAAGTCCGTCAATGTGTGCATCAATAAAAGCAGGCTTCCATTTTCTTTAAAAAAAAAAAAAAAAAAAGGAGGAGGCTCAGAGAGGCACAGCCACTTCTCAAGGTCACACAGCTTCACAGATGCAGAGGACATGGTCCCTGCCCGGAGAGCCTATGACCCATCAGCACAGATGGGCACGAACAGGTTGGAGGAAACATTGCAGGGAGCATGAGGGAAGCCTTGAGGGATGAGCTCCACCAGGTATTGATGGAGGCTTCATCGAAGAGAGGACACTGGGACAAGTGGCGTTTGTGGGCTTCCATGGCAGATGGGGAGTAGGCTGGGGGTGTGCTGTCCACGAGTCTCTCTCTCCATCCCTCCGTTCTGCTTCCCTCTGTGTTGGGCCTCCTCCTGAGCAGCTCTCCCCATGCCCTGACCCGTGACGAGGGAGAGAGAGAGAGAGAGAGAGAACGGCCCCCACAAGCTCCAGAATTGTGACTGGCCCTGGCAGGGTCGTGTGTCCATCACTGAATGACTAGCTCTGGTTAAGGAAACATAGCGCCCTGCCCTGCTTGGCTGAATCGCGCCTCAGAGCTGGGGTTGAAGGCAGCTCCAAGACCCCCGCAGGGCCTGGGAGTTGGGGGGTTGTCGTGAACCCGGGCAGTTACTCTGCATGCCCGGCGGGCAGACCATGGTAGTACCTGGAGACTTGAGTGGGAAGAACCACAGTGGCGGCGGGGGGGGGGTGGTGGTTCTTGTAGGCCCAGGGAGCAGTGGGAGGCAAAGGCGGTGCCCGGGGGTAGCAGGTGCTGAGTCTGGGGTCCCGCTGATCATGGGGGTGACAGCACTCTGTAAACTGTAGTTAAGACACCTCCTGGGGAAAGGAGGCCAGCGCCCTGGGGTCGTCCCCATCTGCCGGGTACCGGCCTTGCCTGCTCCCAGTTTGAGTTGGTCAGGACACACCATCCTCCTGGCTGTGGAGGGGGGCGGTCGGACATGGGGACAACTCCTTCCGGGCCTGTTGGGGAGGGTTGCGGGCCTGGAGCTGTTGGTGGCGTTCCCTTGGTCATTAGGTGGAGGGTGTGGCTGCCCCATGACAGGGGAGGCGGAGACGGGCAGGTACGGGGTGCTGGGGACACTGCTGGATCGTGTCCCTGGGGCCCCCCAGACACCTGGACGGATAGCAGAGGAGCCCGGCCGGTGCCCCGGCCTCCCATGCCAGAGGGCACCCTGCGTGTCACATACTCCGTGATGCCCACTCCCTTCCCCTCCTTCCGCAGGGCCTGGCTCGATCGGGTCCCCAAGACACCCCACCAGCTCCCTCCTGTAGAGCGGGTGTGAAAGCCCCTGCACGGAGTAGTGCGTGTGTGTTAGCTCGGGTGTCTTCCGCAGTCTATGCGCAGGCTTAGAACGTGCTCAGCCCGGAGCCTGGCTTGGCGATGACCACGACCGATGCCCAAGTTAGGGCACCACTGTAAGCACGTGCCTTCCGCGGGCCCAGGCTGCCCCCCTGCACCCAGGGTTGTCCCCAGGGGAGACGCCAGCGGGACAGCCCCTCGGCCAGTTCACCCGGGAAGAGCTGCTCGGCCCTGAAGCCGGCCCGATCCGCTGGCTCCGGAGCAGCCTTCCCGAGTGCCCCGCCCCGCTCTGCTCACTGCAGGCAGCGCGCTCTCTCCTGGGGCCTTTCCTGCCACTGATCGATACGCCTAGAAATTCTCCTCTGATGGTTTCCCTAGCAACCAGCCCACAGGCAGCTGCCCTCCATCAGCCTGCTTTCTGATCTGAAACCCAGCTCCTCCCAGGCGCTGCCAGCATCTCCTGTGCCAGGCTGAGGGCTGGGGGTACACGGTCCCCCTCTGGTCAAGCGCATGATGCCGAAGCAGTTTCTTGGGGCCCCCAGGACCTTGGGTCGGGTGCACCTGCAGAGGCCACGGGAGTGTGGAGGATGCCTACCCCAGTGGACCATCTGCTGTGGGCCGGGTCAGGGAGCTGGCCCCTCTGTGACTACCGGTGACCCGGGCGCTGGGCCAGCAGAACAGGTGCCAGAGTTGGCGGCCAGCACTAGGCCAACTGTTCCAGCCCTGGGGAGCAGCCCTGTCTTACCCTGCTGTAGAGGAGGGCCGGGCTTGCAGAGGGGAGGAGGCACTCCCTCCCCTGGGATGGGAACTTGATTTTGTCCGAGTACAAAGTCCACATCTGCCCAAAGGCAGGCCTGAGACAGGTGGGCCCCTGTGAGGGTGTCCCTGGAGGGGCTTTCTGGTTTCTGGGAGCCTACGGGCTGCAGGGGTTGTGAGCAGAAGGAACGTGGGGCTGGTGCAGAAGATTGAGGCAGTGAGGGAGGCATGTGGGTGTTGCCCCGGGTTTGGGGGTGCTGGAAAGCCCCTGGAAACCCCACAGCTGCACTGATGTCCGGGATGCCATCCAAGCACCTTGACCCTCAGGAGTGGGGTAGGCTACAAGCCAGCCACCCAAAGTGGAGACAGACTTCCTCCTTGAAGGACATGCTCCCAGCCACTGGGGGCTGTAGGCAGGTGCCCTCCGTGTCACTCCAGCTACAGATGCTACCTCCAGGCTTGCCCTCCTCCTGTCACTGACCCAAGCAGGTGCATCAGGGCCTGGCCACCTCCCGACACAGGATGGCTCTGGGGGCCACTCTGACTCTGGGTCGCCAGGGGTCACCCTGGCTGTCCCTGTGCCTCATGGCAGCTCAGCATCCCCCTTTGCTGGCTCCTGCTTCCTCCCTCTCTGCTGCAGGCCCTGCGGGGAGGGGGCCCTCCTGGGAAGTCTGCTGTGTGCTTCATGGGGGATGCTGCTCTTCCTCACTGGATCACTGCCCTCAGAATGCCCTGGGGACCTGGGGCACGTGTAGGCTGGCAGTGGCCCCACACTCTCCTGCTCCCCCAGAGCTGGGCTGGCCCTCCATGGGGCTCCTCAGAGGGGAGGAGCCTGACTCCTCCTGCCTCGGTGGCAGAGAATTCTGTCCTGGTTGGTTACGCCAGGTGCCATCTCTTTGCTGGTGATGGGTCAGGACAGGCATGGCCCCAGTTCGGAGGCCTAAGGAAGTTTGCTAGGGGCTTTGGGGAAGGTCTTGGGAAGACAGAGCCTCCTGCAGACACAACCCTCCTCCTGCCTGGGTGGGGAGCCTGCCGATGCAGCCTCTGACAGCCCCCATCCAAGTGGAGTGGAGATGCCCCCACTGAAGGCAAAAGGGGATGGGTCCCAGACACCTCCCCCTCCATTGAGGCCTGGCCTTCCTCCAGACCGAACGAAGCCTTGAAGCCGACTTTGCCTTGGGGGGCCACCTTCCTGGGTCAGCGCTCATGTGGGATGCTGGTCCATCCCCCTGACAGTGCCTGGGCTCAGGCAGGATGATTCCAAGTGAGGGTCTGTCTGTGGCTCGGGGCTGGAATCAGCACGTCTGTGCCTCTGCCTATGGTCATGAGTGCAGGGCTGATATCACGACGGAGCCAGATCCAGACTCTCCACCTGGTATTTCTGTGGAACTCTTGGGACAGAGAAGCGCTTTCACTGCCTCATTCCTGGAGCTCGGACAGGGGAGAGGCCCCTTCCTTTGCCCAAACCCACTGAGAAAGGACGAGCAGCTAGCTCTTGGCGTTATTTCGGCTCCCCGGGCCTATGAGCCAGTCTGTTCTCTCATGGGCCTGAGGAGGCTTGAGGTGGCATCCTGTCCTACCCAGGACGGCCAACTAGACACCAGGGAGGTGACATTCCAGGGGTGCGGATCCTCCTGACCTCTATTGTCCCTCAGGGTGAGTGCAGGAGCAACACCACATGGCTCTGCCTGGGTGCTGTGGCCCCATGGCTCCTCCTTCCACAGCCCTTCCACGTTCAGCAGAGACCCCACCAGGGGCTTTATTGTCCTGTTTGTGGTCCAAGGGCAGGCCTGACTGTCAAAGTCATTGGCATCTGAGACTGCCCCGCCGCCCCTTCCGATGTGAGGTATAGGGTCAAAGGCCACCACCCCCAAATTAAAGCCACAGGAAGACACTGAGACTTCACATCCAGCTAGCAAGGATTAAAGTCTGGAGACTAAGCCCAGATGAGTGAGTGCAGGTCCACCTCAATGGGCATGTGCAACTATGGCAGGTAGGCTCACCTTTCCGGGTGTTAATTTGGTAAATGGATCAACACCCTAAGAATGTTTATACTTTGGCCCCAGAAATTCCACATCTGAGGATCAATCATATGGCAATAATTTCTGGATAGCAAAGAAGCCTGTACGTTGGGTGTGTCAGAGCCAGCCTACTTGGGCTCTTGAGAGACAATTGTTAGATACTTGGGAAAATCTGCCAGCCAACTGTTAGACTGTTGGTAGCTTGATGTCGCCACAGTGGACGTATTTATACCACAGACATTGGCAAATGCTGCACGTCGGAGACTTTATCTTCTTTGGAGAGCTAGTGTAGCAGCACAGTGGGCCACTGGCTCCCTGGACGCCCTGTGACCATGGGGCCGGTCTTCGTGTACCAGTAAGGGGCAGTCTGCAACGTATGCTGCTGAGTGGACAAAGCAAGCTGCATGCTGCCATTTGTAGGGAAAACCGAGGGAGCACGGTCATGGCCGTTCCATTGCAGGAACAGACCCTGGGGTACCAGTGGGGTACCAGTGGCTAAGGAAGTAGGGATCAGGGACGGAAGGCACACTTGCTGTCTCCCACATGCTCTCTTAGAGTTTACCATACTCAAAGTTTTTTGCTTTTTTTTAATTTGAAAGACAATGAGAAAAGAAAAATCTTTTGAAAATTGTGTTCATCTTGGTGCCATTTACAAATGCAAAAAATAAGAAGCAACATAACTGTCCAATTAAAGGGGATTGTCGAGATAAAGCGCAGTAGCTCATGTGGCAGAAACACTACTACACTATCCTTCCAAATGGATGCCGACAAATTATTTATTATGACAGGGAGACTACTAATGAGAGTTTACCTGAAAAAAAAAAAGCTGATTATATAATTATATATCTTGTCTTATCTAGACTGTAAAAATTAACAAAACAGAAAACTGGTGGGAAATATGCCAAACCATGGACAGTGTGTTTTGGTTGGTGTTATTTTGGGCAATTAACGTTTTCTTTATTTTTCTCCCTATGCTTTTCAGATTTGCTGTGTTGAATAGGAATTCCTTTCATAATCCACCCCCCTCCCCTGCCAAAATCTTTATTTTATTGAAACAGCTGAAGCCAGGCAAATCCGATGCCCCATAATCTGGGTGGGTCCTACCAGCCATGCCCTGCTGGCGCCGGGCTGTGGCTTCCATAGGCTCTGGCTGCTGCGCCCACACTGGGCCCACGTCTGCCCTCCGAGCGTGCACCCAAGGCGCGGGCTCCCTCTCCAGCCTCCACCAGCCCGCTGTGGAACCCTAAGGCCTGGAGCTGCAGGGTGGGGGCGACCACAGACCTCCTGCCGCTGTTGAACCCAGTGACGCGTATATGCTGCCACCCGACTCAAGAAACAAACGTCATTTTTTAAAACGCCGGCTTGCATCTGGCTGGGACAAAGGAGGAAGGAAGGCTCCCCCTTCTCCGTGTCGTAGGAATCCCAGAAGCTGGGGGGTCTCCTGCATCACCCAGGGCTGTGTGGTGGGCTCTCTGCTCCTCTGTGCCCAAACCCAAGGCCCTCCTTTCAGACCAGGCATCTCCCATGGGGACTCAGGAAGTAGCCATTCCCCAAAGCGTGTGCTCATGCTCACACACACATCCACACGCGTGCAAAGGGCTGCCTGTTTGCTGTAGGGGAGTCACCTCTTTGGTTCCCGAGAGCCGCTGGCTACCTACTCAGGAAAAGCTGCCTGTCCCCGGAACACTGAGCAATTGGCTTTTTGTGCCTCTGCTTGCTCATCTGCCAAATGGGGCCATTGACGCACTTACCTCATTAAGTGAGGCATCGCAGGCACCCAGCTCAGCCTGTGCCAGCCCTGAAGGCTACTATAGCTGTGTGCGGGGCTGTCCCCTGACTTGGGGGGTCTCCTGCCCCCCATTGGGATCGCAGTCCTTGCTTTAGCCCCTGAGCTCCCACCCCCACTCGGATGGTCATCCTCCTTGGCCCTAGGCCGTGGGGCTGGACACCATCGTCCCCTCCCTATTCCCCAGCCCCGATGTTTCATTTGTCTGCCATTTGGGGCTAAGGTTTAGACATCTGCATATTTCACACAAGTCCCAATTTCTGGCTTCCCTTGAACCACGGGAGCCAAGGGGCCGGGCTGGCACTTAGCACCCTGTTAGGGTCTAGGGGGGTAGCTCCGTGGCCCTGGGACCTGCAGTCCTTAACCTGACGGGCCTTCTGAGAACAGAGGCCTCTCGATGCTTCTGTGAACTGTGGGTGCCCAGAACTGCAGAGGGAAGGTGCCCACAGCTCACAGGGTCCTCATCGCTCCTGAGCCCTGGGTCCCTGGGGAAGCTGTCCTGCCTCCACACCAGGTGCCTGGCCAGGTGGGCAGGTTCCTGTCCTCCCACCTTCCCCTGGCTCTGGGGAGCGGGTGGTCTCCAAACTCACTCTATCACCCCCTCGGTGTCTTGATTTTTCTCCTGAGTCCCGGGTTGTGTAGACTTGTGTGCCGAGCAGGAGCAGTGACATCATGGGGCTGCCGCTGTGAGTGGCCCTGGTGCGGGTCAGAGCACTGACCTCCAGGTGATGTGCTGGAGGTCCAGGTGACCTCCGGGCCAAGGGGACACGATGCCTCACTCGGTTGCCCGCAGGCTGGTGGGTAGCAGGCTGGAAGCTGGAGCTTCGTGTGCTCTGCAGACACCCCAAGTGGCCACCCCTCCCTGCTGGCCTCAATCCTAGCCCAGAGATGACAGGCTAAGCCACATCCCCTTGAGGTCATGTCCCCTTCCCACTGGCTGCCAGCACCCTCTGCAGACAGCTCCATGGCCTCTCGCACTGCCATCCTGCCTGCTTGTTTCTATGTGGTCCTTCCACACATCCATGTATTGTCACCACTCCTGGCATGTTAGTGACATCATTTACATTGATTAGTGACATCCCAGGAGCCCCTGACTTTCTGTCTCACTCTGAAATCTGTGTTGTACCTTTGAGGTCCTGCAAGCTACATCTGTGATGGCCTCAGCTCCTGCTGAGTCTTGCAAGCAGTGTCTGACCTGTGTCTGGCCAGTGGTCCACTGGAGCCTCTGGCTCATTCTCCCTATTGCCTGCTTGAGCCAAGCACCAGGCTGGGCTATAGACACCAAGGTGGACACAAGGTTCCAACCCTGCCTTCAAGGAATGCCTGGGCTGGGGAGGGTTTTTTTTTGGGGGGGACACACAAATGTACACAAACTACTAGAACCCAGAGTGGGAGATGGTCCCTGCTATGACCTGACCCGACCTGCAGGCCAAGAAGTCTCCCTAGATGGGAGGAATCTTGAAAGATGTGCTTTGCAGGCGAGGGGGAGAGCGCCAGGCAGCAGAAGTAGCTGCTGTGAAGGTGATGAGTTTGGGGCAGCAGGAGAGGAGGGGAGGGAGGGAGGGGCTGAGGGTGGTGAGGGAGCCAAGAGGCCATGGCGGGGCAGGGCCACATGCACGAGCAGCTACTCTTCCGAGGGCACCAGTGAGGCCAGTGGAGGCAGGACAGGGCTATGATCTCAGCCCCACCATGTCTAGCCTAGTGGCCTTGGGCATGTCACATCCCTCTCTGAGCCTCAGCTTCCTCCTCTGGGAATGGGGCCAGTGCTAGCTTGAGTCAGGGAGCATCCATGCAGGGACCACCACTGGGGCTCCCAGAAGACTGACTGAATGCCACAGCGGGCTGAGTCTGGAACTGTGTGCTGGGGACCTAGCTCCCGGACTCCTGGGGACATAATGCTTGCAGAGGTTCCTGGAGGGTCTATGCCCGTGGTGACCCTAGGAGGAAGAAGGAAGATGCTAATTGCCTCCTTCTCTGCTGTCCCCAGGCAAAAGTCAGCCCAGCTCTGTCCGCCTCCCCAGGGAGGGTCAGTACCAGAGGAAGAAAGTTGGGGGGTAGGGCGGAGGACTGGGGCTCGTGTTGTCTCTTCCTAAGCAGGCTCAGTACCTGACAGTGACTGTTCCTTTTTGGGTTGCTATCACTGCAGAACAAACTGCCCCAACCTTAAGAGTGCAAATCCATCCTTATCCTGCTCCCAGAGTCTGGATCTGAAGCAGGAAGGGCACGTGCTCCATGATGTCTGGCCTCAGCTGGAAAGTTAGGAGCTGGAGTGACTCACCTGGAGGCTTCTTCACATACACGTCTTGGCGGGGCACACTTGCAGACCGGGGCTGCCTGTGGGGCTGCTTCCCGTGGCCTGGAGTCCCTACCCCCCAGCCCCTCCCCAACCCCGCGAGGTGGCCTCAGGTAGTAAGAATCTTACATAGAGCCTCGGGACTCCGACAGCCAGTGCTCCAAGCCTCTCCTGACCGGGACTCAGGAAGACCTGGACCTCTATTGTTCGAGTCGATCCCAGGTCCATCCGAGTGGGGCACAGGCCCACCTCTTAGCAGTGCTAAGGAGTCTGCAGGCATGTTTGAGGGGCACTTTGTGTGAACCAGACATTGTGTGCTCTCCAGGATTCTTGGCAGAAACGCTGCCCAGAAGCTCCTCAACAGGATGCTTGACATTCCGCAATTAATGTTTCATGCCCTTTATTCGATGGTTTGATCCCCGTTATAAATGTTACATCCCAATAAAAGTGGGTGTACTTTTGTGTGTCCCCCCCCAAACCCTCCCCAGCCCAGGCATTCAACCTTCTCAGTCATGATGGCCTCAGCCCCTCCCAGTGAGAGATCTTCCATAAATCCCCGACAGATCCCAGCATCTCAGACACAAGTCTGGCAATCAAGCCCGTTCACCTCTCCTGCACCTTCCTCCTTCTCCACTCCTCACACTGTGTGTATCCTGTCCACTGCCACGACTTTGACCCTGTCCCTTCCTGTACCTGAGAAACTTGTCCTGAGGCCCAGCAGCCCTCAGGCAGGCCCAGGCTCTCCCCATGCTAGGCACTCTTGCCATTTTGCTCATTCCTCCAACTTGGTCCCCAAGTATGTGCTGTCTGGGGGCAGAGCTCCCGGTATCGGAGCCAAAATAATTTGTAAGAACCCCTGGGTGCTTGGTGCTGGCCTAGCTGGGGCTTTTAGCCAGATGCCTCCCTGCCACTTCTCCTCCTCCATATGGCCTGAGCTTGTCACCTTGTGACAAGGTGGCCGGGTTCCAAGGGTGAGAGTCTGAGGGAGAGAGAGCGCCAGGTGGAAGCCATATAAGCCACATTGCCTTTTAGGACCTCACTTTGAAAGACACAGAGTCACTTCTGTTGTATTCTATTGCTCAACTGTTCGGGGGGTTGCAAATGGATGTCGTGTTGTAAGACGGGATATGTTGATGTGACCACCGTTGGAAGACACAATCTGCCACAGTAATGTTCATTGTGAGGAATTAATTAGTTAGATGATCCTTGTAAGGAACTTACCCCAGTACCTGCTAAGTCGTGAGTGTCTAAAAATGTTGACTATTATTATGAAGTG